GAACTCCTCAGCAGCCAAGCCGATTTCCAAATCTCGGAACGCAAGAATATCGAGACAAAACGTTCGTCACACAAAAATCAATTATTTTTAACGTACTTGCAGCACTTCCAAAAAATTAACAACCCTCTCTCTTATTTAATAGCATCTAACCCATTTACCTAATAACAGCGCAAGCATGCAAGCTCTACCTGTATAATTATCATTGCAGCGTTATCACTCGAATATTACACCCAATCCATAAGACGGAGTTATCAGGTATGATCTGGAACACCGCTAGCGTTTATCGAGAGACATCCAAGACCTTGTACGTCAGAGTCGACAAAGCATAGAACCATTAATGCGGAATACATTTCGTCGTAAAGCAAGATAAGCACGGTACATGGCACAAGGATATTTTTCATCGCGCATCGAGGAAACATCGTGTACATACATCATAAGGATTATCAAAAACGTCTCAACGATATCCTCGGTCCTAACGCGATGCTATTCGTGCGGAGATTTTTACATTTGAAACTTTTCACTTTTCCGTGATTACCAGTCCATGAAAAACGATACAATATCAAATTAATAGAAACACAAATTACTCTTGGTATTCGCTAGTTGGTCCATCAGGAAACACCTAATAATTATATGATCAACGTTTAACCAAATACCATTATCGGTACGTTTAAGAAAGCATCATTTTCTTGATCTTGTTTTTAATTTCAGACAATGTCTAAACGTCCTCGCCAGGGCACATTTTGCGAACCTCGGCCGAAGGACAACACCTCCGAGTCTTTGGTGCCGTGCGTGCTTGGGATTTCGTGTCGTGGTCAAAACGTGAAAGTTGCGCGACACCGCCGATAAGAGGTACCGATCTTATCCGAAATAATGGTAAAAATAACTAGGAAAGTATCGCGCAAAAAACAGCGAAATAGGTAGAAAAAGAAGGAGAGACTTCGTAGGGGTAAGGATCAAGTACAAGACGGTATATTCGTTACTTCGGTTAATTCGATACAAAAAGGTACGATACAATTTTCATAAAAACGACAAAAAACGCGATCAAACGATTTCTGTTTCTTACTGCTTCTTCTTCCATTGCGTTCTACCTTTCTTCCGATTAGCCATTCGCATTCCATCGTCTGTTTGTCTCTTATTCTTGGGAATATATCTCTTCCACATATTTTTTACCGGCGGTTCGTCGTTGTTCTCCGAACGACTCTTTTTTATCTCGTCGATAATCTTAATCGAGTCGGAGGAAGCATTCAGAACGCTCTCTCGCGTTGAAATATTTTCGATTTGATTCGTGCTTCTCCTTTTTCCACGCTTCTTCCGTTTCCGTAATGCACCTTCTTCCTCGACATTAGATTCGTCGTTCCCTCCCAATTGTTGGTTCGTCGATTCTTCGTTTCTTTTACGTTTGGCATAGAAAGGCAAAGGTACGTCAAAGTTCCTTTCAAATACCGCGACGAAGAAACCGTTGCACAAGTCTACGTCAGACTTAGCGTACAGGCACTTGTCGGAACATTTGTATTCCGTAGAACTGTAATTCTTCCAATTTTTTAAAAACATATCCTTAATGGATACAAGCGTGTAAGCGTCTTTGACATTTTCGAGAATTTCATCTATTACTTGCTCGTTTTCTTCTGCATTTACAGAGCAAGTACTGTAAACGACTCTTTTTACATTCGGGAAATTAAGAAGTGCATGTCGCAAGAGAAACACTTGAAACGACTGTAATTGCTTGAGACGATGCGGCACTACTTTCTCGTCTCCGTTCATCAACTGTCTGTCCAACATACCTACGATGAAACATTTAGTTTGGGTTACATTTGAAATCATTTATAAATTTATATACGCGAAATGTATTTTACCTGAACCAGAACAAGATGGATCGACGAGGATATATTCCACGTCAGGATAATCGTCTGAATTGATTGTCAACGCGTCTCTATGAATAGTTTCTACACAACTGGAGCTTGTTAATCGTACTTGATCGCATAAAGTCTCGTATCTTCGTTCGTTTCTCTCTACCGCATAAATTTTTCTACAAACATTACATTTAGTTAAATTTAAAGTATCGTTTATAAATAAAACATAGATATCGGTTAGATCTCATACCCGTTATTCTCTAGAAGTGCAGCCAAGTGTGTTGTCTTCATTCCTGGAGCTGCACACATATCTAGTACTACAGATCCAGATTCTGGATTTAACAATTGCGTTGGTAGGCAGCTGGCCTAAAAAAATAAAAAAAAAATAAAAAAACAGGTAAACAAAAATCGAATAAACGATCGTAGCAAGAGTAAGGCATTTTAACAAGAAAATAAGCGTTACCTTATCTTGTAAAATAATTTCTCCTTTTTTATATCCGGAATGATTGTGAAAAGATGTATCGTGTGGGAAAACAAGTAATTCTGGAATATGGAAATCTTGAATAAACTTTGGCTTTGATAAATTTGTTACGGCTTCTAAATGAGCTGTATAATCTGGACATTCTGGCAGAAGAGTCCATCCTTCGTCTTGAAAGTATGATATTGCCTTTTCTAACGACAACAATAAAGTGTTGACACGAACGTATCTCGCCTTACGAACTGAAAAAAATTAGATTGACTTTATGAGACGCGCAGTGGTGCATAATTTTTTATGGATATAAAGTAAAAGTCATACTTTCTGGCTAAACTATTTATTGTTAAATACATACTCGATTCTTTTCGACATTAGCATTACTAACTCGTAACATGATAATAATAGTAAAAAAATATACAAATATTTAAATTACATTCTACTATATACTTATTACATCTATCAATATATTAACGTATTTTTTAAATACCACCGCATGTGCAGTGTAAATACAATAATATAGTTATATATTTTTATTACAATCGTAATCTCTTATTTACATTTAATCGATTTTTTTGTTGAGACTTTCTTTAGAAGGCTGATCAGCTATTTCGTGAATCTCGGGAGTATTATCAGGTTCGTGAAGCGCCTGATAAACGTAACAAGCGATTATTAAATTTACCATAATCACTGCAGCAAACACGGAAATGCAATTTGTTACAAATCTATCCGTGTTAAACTCAGTCTTCAGAATATGCTCTACTCCAAAAAATACAGCAAACGGTAGTGTAAACATAGCGGCGCTATATAGGAACAATGTTCCCAACACTGTTGCAATACTCATAATTGGTGTTTCTTTACTCTGTTCGTGAAAAGTCTCGTTTTCGTTCGATTTTTGACGATTTTTATTCACGTAGGACAGAAATCTTTTAATTCTAGTTTGCCGGCTAGTAAGTATTCGATTGTTGCGGATGATTAAAACCATCAATCTGGATGCGCGATATCCCTTAGAAAGCAAAATAACTTAAAATATCTCTAATTTGTGGCTCGATTGGTTTATTAATTTTCCTGTACAGGAATGGTCCATTTCTGTAAAAATAATACGTATTTATTGGTAATTAAATGCAATGTCTTTTTACCTGTTGTTAGTGTCGGTTGAAGTACTTCTACGTCGCTACAATTTTGCAATGCTTTGTGCAGCTGTTCCTCATAGCTAAGTATGGTATTAACAGGCTTGCATTTTGCATTCAAAGCTTTTTTCCCCCAGAGCAATTCTGTTATAAGAATTTTTGCTAACCATGGGTCCAAACGAGATTCTTTTGCTAATATACCAGTTTCGATTATGAGATAATTTAACTGTGCTTCTTTTTGTAATGTATTAAGGCACAAGGAGTATACCGCAGACACATTCTACATTGAGATGAAAATTAATAAGTAATTATCGTTATTTCGTAATTGAATACTTATAACTGTAATAAATGTAATCAAATTACGATAAAGGTGTAACAACATATACAGTTCCAACATAATTTGAGTAAAAGGAGCCATGAAAACCACGTGATTACAGTTCACTCGTACTTTTAAAGAATAAGAGATCGTCCAACTATTCGACACGGTTTCAAATACTAAATACTGTTGAACAGATCACTTCTATAGTTTAAGCCTTTTATTTTATTATATTTTTTAATTCTAATCGATGAACTTACAGGATGCTTATGATCGTAAATCTTTGACTTGAGGTTGCCACCCTTCTCGCGAATGTCTTGAACGATCCTAGCAGCGGTTTTATAAAGTCTTGGGACTTTCACAGAATGTACATATCCGCTAGGCATGTTACCGCATCAGTCAGAAGTACTCCAAAATATCGAAATTAATTTCAGTCACCAAGTAACGCATTAATCGTCGGGATCCCACGCCGAACTATACCTGACTATGCCTCGTGAGACCAACACGAATGACGACACACGTTCGCCATGCTGTGCGGATGCAACGGTAATTTATCGAGCTCAATTTTTAAAGATACACGAAAAACTTGCATTGAAATGTAAAACAAATATACAGAAGAGACCATTATATATAAATATAAATAGCAATTTATATAAATTTGATTATATCTGCATCAGAAATGAACAAATTAGATGAATTCGAAATAGTCACCGCTCGCTAAGCCGCTCAGTGAGCGGGTATTAGTACCAGTGTCGCCATCGGTGGGAAAACGCCCAAGTTCGTAGTGAGAATAGTTCGCACAATTTTTCCTAGATGGCGCCACCGATATATTTGATCAAATTTAATTAAAAATGCATAATTAATAAAATTCTTTTGGCATATAATAATACAATATATCAGTAATATGGCAAATTTCTTATTTTTTTAATAGTTATTTAATGCAGCAATAATTACCGACCATTTAGTTAGCGTCGCCATCTAGCGTGATAAGTAAGAACTATTTTCACTACAAACTTGGGCGTTTTACCATCGATGGCGCCACCTTACTAAAAAACTCGCTCACTGATCGGCTTAGTGAGCGCGAGCGGTGACCTTTCTTGCCTTTCTGGATGCATCCAATTCTACTCGAATAATAGATCACAAATAAAAACACCGTATAACAATTTATTCGCGACGTTTTTCCATTGAATATTGCTAGTATCTAACTACCTATAATCGGCTCTGTCGCTTGACTTTATTTACAGATCGTCCTTGAAACAATTTTCAAACAATTACATGGGAAGCTGCACGGATACATGAAAATGAGCCTCGTTCGTCGAGTGTCACGTGTTTGCTACCACTTCCAATCAGTTTGCAATACGAACTTATTTTAGTGTACTCCGATCTAATTATTAGTCTGTTAGATATTTAATAATCGTGAAATTTGATGCATTTTTTATGCATAATTACGTCTACATTCAATTAGAAATATGATGCTAAAGAAACTGTGACTACTCGGTAAGATCGCAAGCTTAGACTAAAAGGATTCTCACGTTGCTACGTACAGGTTACGTTTCGGCAAACGATCCAAAGTATATTTTTTATTTTCTAACTACGCAAATGTTGACTCTCTCGCGTACAGACGTTTAAATAAGAATTAGACGATGTTTGGTGACCGTTTAGAGCGCAGGTTAACGCGTGTCTCGATTCCGGAAATGAGATACGAAGACGCAAAATGTTCTGTTGCAATCGCGTTGTGCAGAACGTACACATCGGTTTGTCAGAATTTATAAATATCACAATTAGTATAAGTAAATAATACAAACGATACTGTAATGTACATATGGTTTTCTTAAAGTTCCTGTGAAATAAGTTCCATTTTATGCATATTTTCTATATTTTACTCCAATTTTATGTTATTTAGAAATAGTATAGAGATATCTGGTACTGATATTTTAATAAATTGTTTTAGAAAGTTTGGAGTAAAGAAGACATTTAAAGTTACATCTCATTTATATTGCGACAAAGGACACTTCAATGACTAAAGACAAGAAGGTTTTATTGTATTGTCATAAATATTACATATTATTTACTATGTGTGATAGATTTTGTATAATTAATTGTTATACATGTGGCACACATATAGAGAATTTCAACTTTTGGTTTCATTTGCTTTGAAAGCATAGGAATTTTAAAAGCAAAATATGTAGTATGTCGGCAACTCGATGTATAAAAATTATTCGTTATAGGATTTTGCTTCTGTTTTTACATTTAATTTCTATAGCTGTACAAAAAAATTTAGCATACTACATTGTTGCTTATTATATGTGTTTTTTGTCTGTATTTGTTAAATATCTTGTTGTTATCTTGGCTTGTACATATGAAAGAAAAAGAATTATATAAGAAACCTTGTAGATCAATGTTATTATTATTATAGTAAATGTTTAACCATTGCTTTTTTATGATTTCAGTTGGTCCTGCATGCTGTGCACTGTATCAACGTCCCGTCTAAAGTATTGCACTGTATTTTTTCTTACTTTGCCAAACACATCACATACACAATAAGCATATAAGGAATTATGGCTGCCTACATCAATCGTACAATGTCCATGATTGCGGGAGACAGCCACTTGCGATCAACAGATATTAGATCCGATAATTCTCCCCTCCAGATTTTCGTTAAAGCCAAAAAGAAGATCAACGACATCTTCGTGGAAATAGATGACTATGTGCAGGATACCGTGGGATTTATGACATGTAAATAATTTTTATAGCATATCTGGTACAAAGTACCGTAATTTCGATTAACTGCTAACCTTTTTTTTTTATAGCGCTACAAGGTGAACGTAATATAGTTACGCCCGAAGATGCGCAGAGAATCTCAAGTTACGTCGATAAAGTTCACGCGATTAGAGATGTACTTAAGCGGGATCACATGAAAGTTGCTTTCTTTGGAAGGTATTTAATTATGATAGGATCGAGTAACATTGATATTTGAACTAAATGTAACATATACATTTATCTATTGTAGGACTAGCAATGGAAAGAGTACAGTTATTAATGCAATGTTACGCGATAAGATTTTGCCAAGCGGTATAGGACATACGACGAACTGTTTTTTACAAGTTGAAGGATCGGATAACGGAGAGGCGTACCTTGTCACAGAAGGATCCACTGAAAAACAACCTGTTCAATCTGTTGGTCAATTGGGTCATGCTCTTTGCAAAGAAAAATTGTGCGAAAGTCATTTAGTCAGAATATTTTGGCCAAAAGAGAAATGTTTACTCTTACGAGACGATGTAGTATTCGTTGACAGCCCTGGAGTAGACGTGACACCCAATTTGGACGACTGGATCGATAAACACTGTCTGGATGCAGACGTTTTTATTTTAGTAGCTAATGCTGAATCTACGTTAATGGGGATTGTAAGTGGTATTAATTGTTTATCTTATGTTTTTATATAAAAGTTACACCTACTAAGAATATTGTAATTGCAGGAAAAAAATTTTTTCCACAAAGTATCAACAAAATTATCGAAACCCAATATTTTTATTCTAAATAATCGATGGGACGCGTCTGCTTCAGAACCAGAATTCTTCGAGCAGGTATATATCGTATAAAGTTGCGCACGATACATAAATACAAGTTCCTCTGGTATTTGAGCGATTACATTCCGATAATACGTTATATCGATTAAAAAAACTATTTTTGAAAGCATTTTCTTACAAAATAACATGTTATATTGTTATTAAAGCTGGTACTACATATTAAGGTTATTATCTCGGAATTTGTTTGCATATAAACAATTTGCTATGCATTAGGATGTCCAAAAATATATATGTAATATATAGATGCATTGATATATTAGCTGTATGCAGTGGCAGCTTTACTCAATTAATTCACGTAATACCCCATTTATCCCTTAGCTGGGCAAAGAGCAAAAGGAGGTAAGCTGCTCCGTTTTACATTCTTTGTTTTAACTGCAAATGAAACCAACATTGTCACTATGCAATTCATATTTTGCACATGTGTAGCATGAAAAAACATTCATAAAACTCAAAGTCATACTTTAAACTACCGATCTGCTTTTCATATTAAGAAGTCTCACCGTGTGCCTTTTGCTTCTTAAATTTTACTCTGAAAGCTAATACGTACGTTATACTTATTTACGTTTAACATCTGCGTAGGTGAGGGCGCAACATCAAGAGCGAGCCGTTGACTTTTTAGCAAGAGAATTAAAAGTTTACACTCCAAAAGATGCCGAAGAACGTGTTTTCTTTATTTCGGCGAAAGAGACCCTTCAAGCTCGAATAAAAGAACAACTTGGCCAGCCCGCTCATAGTAAGATTTTGTAACTTTTTATTTAAAGATCGTGTACAAATTTCGTACTTACTATATGTATATTTTTATTTCAGATGGTGCACTAGCAGAAGGATTCCAAAATCGTTATTTTGAATTTCAAGATTTCGAACGAAAATTCGAGGAATGTATCTCAAAGTCTGCTGTAAAAACAAAGTTTGAACAGCATTCGCAACGCGGAAAGCACATTTCCACGTAAGCAGTTTACTGTTCGTTCATTTAAATGTTTACTTTCTAATACAAAAGGAAATGATCTTTTTAGAGAAATTCGACAGACGTTAGACGAAATATTAGAGAGAACGCAAAATATGAAAAGTGAACAATTACGTGTTAAAAGAGAAGTTCATGACAAATTAAATTTTACGGAGCAGCAGTTGATGTTACTCACTCAGGAAATGAAGAATAAAATTCATCACATGGTAGAAGATGTAGAACAGAGAGTATCTAAAGCTCTAAGCGAAGAAATTCATAGACTAGCTGTGCTCGTTGACGAATTCAGTGTACCATTTCATACCGATCCATTAGTTTTAAATGTATATAAACGAGAACTTCATACACACGTGGAAAATGGCTTAGGTAATTTCTTAATTTATCGCACATATATCTTTGCACGTAAGAAATTCTAATTCTCGAATTGTACAGGTTCTAACTTACGAGCGAGACTCAGTACCGCATTGGCATTGAATATAGAAAACTCGCAAAGAGACATGACGGAGCGAATGGCGAACTTATTGCCTGAAACTAAACGTCAAATGTCGTTAAATATTTTACCAAGAAGAGAGCCGTTCGAGATTTTGTATAGATTAAATTGTGACAACTTGTGTGCGGATTTCCACGAAGATTTAGAGTTTCGATTCTCTTGGGGAATTACAGCTATAATTAATAGATTCGCAGGAAGGCAAAGTCCCAAAATAGCCATCGCTAATTATCCGCAGGATGTAAGTGAATTTATCGAGTGATACGATCTACTTGTACAACGGCAAAGTTACTATTCAGTTTGCATATACGCAGATACCACCCGCGATTATGTCTCCCACGGAAAGCGTTGATTCTATAAAATATATTTCGAGTACCCCAAACTTTACACCGAGATCAGACGACTGGTCATTGGCTTCTAGAATTGCATTAGCATCTATAACTTCCCAGGGTACGATGGGAGGTCTCATAGTTGCTGGTTTCGTAAGTATTCTCTGTAAAATGACTTTCTAAATACAGAATCACTTTAGTCTACTGAAATTTCTTGTTTCAGATGTTGAAAACCATTGGTTGGAGACTTATAGCTGTAACGGGTACTATATACGGAGCTTTGTATCTTTACGAACGATTAACGTGGACTAACAAAGCAAAAGAACGTGAATTCAAACGCCAATACGTGTCTCACGCTACGAAGAAATTGAAACTAATTGTAGATCTCACATCCGCGAACTGTAGTCATCAAGTACAACAGTGAGTTTAATTTGTTTTATCAGCTATTTAAATGTTTCATTCTCTCAGAATCCATTGTAACGTCATTTTTTTTTTTTTATAATCGTAGGGAGCTATCCAGTACCTTTGCCCGTCTGTGCCATTTAGTGGACGAAACAACGTCTGAAATGGACACTGACCTAAAACACATCGCAAGTACGATAAGAATACTCGAGGAAGCAACTAGTAGCGCTAAAGTATTACGAAATAAAGCGAACTATTTAGCGAACGAGCTCGATTTATTCGACGCGGCATATTTAAAGTCATTAAATTAAGACATCGATCTGCGTCGTATTTAAAGAGTAATATGATCTATAGCAAAAGTTGAGAACATCGGTGAATGTTTTGGGAAACATGACCGTGCATGTTGTGATAGTTAAAATAACTCGTAATGTCGTATACCATTAATGAAATACCAAACGCGTGCTAGGACATGTTTTCCTAAACGACTATTTACGCGTACAGAGGGAATGTTTTTACAAAAAAAAACTCTAGTCTTAACGCAGGCAACCAGAGCTTTTTCAAATTTTTAATGAATTCATCCAAATTCATGATAATGCCAAACTAACGATTTTTTGCATATGTTTTTTGTTTCTTCAGAAAAAGAATTAGCACAAAAGTCTTGCATTGCTAGACTGTTAATGAATTTTTGAATTTTTTGTTTTTAAAGATTCTTTTTAAAGCGAATCATGATAGAGAGTATTATTTTTCCAAATAAACCACGAACTTTTAAACGGGAGCTTCGCGTAAGAAGTACATAAATGATCAATTTCTACCTAGATCTATTAACAGAGATAAATGATTCTTATTTATTATATAGCGATTTAAATAATGCAACTATTAGATTTATTAGATTGTATTTGTAAGAGAGCTTATGTTACTATATTAATAAACGGTTGTTTGTTGAATAAGAATCATATTTGTAAATGTTTGTCCATTTACATAATACATATATTTAGTTGAAATTAAAAAAGTAATCTCACCGAGAGACTGTTACAAATTTCGAGTTTTAAACGAGTCATATGACCAAGATAGAACGGATACAAACGTATGGTGGACGTATGACCTCGTGAAAAATGTGAACGCCTACGAAATGGCTCGAGCATGTAATTACACGCAAATAAAGCTTTACAACAATGTAATTCGGTTGTTCAGCACAGTAAGCCCATCATTTATTACATCATTCCAAGTTTCGTTAATCGAGTGTACATTCATGATTTTCAATTTAATCAGACAGTACATTCTAACCTACAAACTACGATAAAATCTGATATAATCGGACCACCTGATCCGATTTCAAACCTAAGACCGATCAAATTCTCGATACCCTGGAACGAGACTAATCTTGAAAAGAAATACAGAGAGGCCAGGGAAGATACTCAGCTTTGGAATCAAAATTTTTGGGTGAAACACAATACCAGTTTTATAAAAGTACAATTTGTAATCCTTTGTGATATTGTTATGAAGAACAAATGATATATTTTAAAATTGCGAATTTATCGTAGGAACGTAAACAATTCCAAGAGAACCTGAAGGCACAGGGAAAAACATCGATCACCGCGGATGATATGTCTGTATTTTATAAACACTTTCTAGATAAAAATTGGAAAAACCATTTCAATTATAACATTGCATGGTATAAGAGAAATATCAAGCTGCTATTTCTTGAAATTGGGGCAAGAGTAATCAGATTGAAATTTAAGTAATTGCTCCAGCAATGTTCATAGGGAGACTACATAATACTTTCGAATATAATTATCAAGAAGAAAATGCTATGATGCATTGCATGTATTTACAACGTAAATCTGTATGTATAGTATGTTATCTGTAAAGTGAACATAGTAGAATATACATATTATAATATACCATACATATGATTATGCATTTATTGACATAACTCGATTAAGTTTAAATTTCTATAATCTTCATTTTAACACATTTTGTGAATGCAAACGACTGCTGTAATTCAATTTCACCACATTATAAGACATAATTGTTCATTTCCTTTGTATATCTTGAACTCCTTTGGCATATTTGACTTTTTAAACATCCTATCTCCTTCTCTTTCTTTTCGATAATTAATGCCATATATTTATGTTGCTGCCTCTCACAACAGAGTTGCTTTTGATATTCTTTCACAGACTGATTTAATTTTTGATAAGAAAATTTTGCAATTGCCAGTGCTCTTTCTTTTTCTGTCTTCAAATGATCTATTTTAGATGTCAAAGTTCTACACTTTTTACAGTCCAATGAATGAACTTTGTTTAATTGATTATCAGTCTTGTTCAATGTTATCTGTAAAGATTTATTTTTTTGCTTTTCTTGACATAATTCTAGTTTGAGTCTATCGAACTCAGAGGCTAATTGTTGGGCCATTTCTTCGCTATCGTGCAGTAACTGGTACAAAAAGATGTTTATTTCCTGCTTTTAGATACTTCAGTCTAAATTAAAAATAAATCCATTACCTTTTTTTGCCTTGAAATAGTCTTGTTTTGTTCTTCTACAATCTTTTCTTTTATCCTTATTTCAGATAAATGATTTTCTTTAAGAATTTCTATTTCTTGCTTAAAACAATCACAAGCTCTTGTTTCTTCGCACAGACAATGTTTTAAATGTTCTATTTGTTCCTCCATTTCTTTACAGGTGCTGTTATTAGACTCCAACATACTTTGTACTTCCGATAGTTCTGTAGCCTACAAACATATAACATTAATATAATACTTATTTTTATTTTCTTAATAAATATCTTTACTTTCTGAAATAATTCTTCATCTTTCTTGTACAATATATGCTGTTGATTGTTACACATATTTGTTACTTCGTGTATCCTTTTTTTCTGTACTCTAATCACATTTGTAAGTTCCATGATCATATCCATGAATTCTGTTCTTACTTTATTTAAAGCATCTTCTTTTACTTTTACCGCGCATTTCATTCTATTTACTTCCTGCTCAACTTCTTCGCACCTTGAAGCATGTTTTTAATATCTGAAGTGATTTTTAGATTACACTTTAAAGAAGTACAAATACGATCACGTAAGAATTACAGAAATTACCTTTTAGATTCATCCTCTGTTAAAGAGTCCAATTTATTTTTTAGGTCATCCCGTTCTAACTTCAAAGTTGTATTTGCTTGGGTAGCTTCAACTATCTGTTGCTGAAATGATAATTATTCTTATATTAATGAATATGACTTCTTCTCGCATACATACTTGCAATCTCGTAATCTCTTTTAATAGCTCATTTCTATCTGATTTAACTAAATCTGTTTGATCACTTGATCGTTTCGCCAAATCCATTGCACGTTTAGTTTGTTCTTCGGCTGTTTTCAACGCACTTTTTAAACAATCCGCTTTTTGCTCGCTATCTTCTTGAAGACATTTCATACTGCAAGTTAAATTTTCTAATTTCTTTTCAAGTTCTTCCGTGCGTTTTCTTTCGTTCGAGAGATCCTGCAAATTACATATTATATTAACATAGATGGAGTATAAGAGCAATGATTTATTTTCAAAAAGAACCTTTTGAATTCTTTCGAGCATCTTTTTCTCGTTGATAGGAATATCTTTTATGCTGTAAACTTCTTTTAATTCATTTACATTCTGCATTATATCTTTATCTACTACAGGTTGAATTTTCTCTTTGCTTGATCCTGTCTTGTGTTGTGCATTATTTATATTTGAAGTATTTGTGCTTAATTCAGCATGAAAATTATCTTTTGTAGGTATAGTTTGTTCATTCTTCTCTTCAAATGTATCGATTTGTTTGTCATTAACATAAGATTTAAATGATTGTAAACTCATGTTTATTTGATCAGATTTACTTTGATTTTCTTTGATTGGTAAAGAATCTTCACTGATTGTATTGCTTTTTACATAGGTATTAGTAGTTTTTTCATCTGTTAAATCAGTTTGAACTGATCAAAGATTTAATATTAGTAATATGCATTGTATATATTAAATGAATCAATAATGTTTAAGTACCTTTGTTTAATCTAGTATTTCTACAAGCAAATTTTTTACATGGTTTGCATATTTTTGCATTGCATGGCGTCTTTCTTATAGTATCATTGCGTGAAATGCATTTTTCAACATAGTTCAGTCTATTGCACTGTTCTTTTAAAGACAACATATGATAGGTGCAATGACAAAGTTTACCAAAACTATTCTCTACACAACACTGTATAAAATAAATTATTTCTTATGCATCCTATTCTTTATTAGGTAAATAATAATGTTCAATTTATAACATTTACTTTTTTACATGCTGAGTGAGAATACGTATCAAATTCCTGATCCATTCTTTGTAATTTTGAAATGGTCATAAGTTGCTGATTCAGAGTATCGAGTCTTGTTGAAATACTGCACATCCCAAATTTTATTTAATGTATTTAAGGCATCTGTCATAATACTAATTTTTATCCTTATTATGAATTCTAAACTAGTGACATTTAATAAGTAATGCAACAAATACGCATTAAATTGTCACTGTCATGATAATCGTAGATTGTCTTATTTTTTTTTCGTCTGTAACATTTTGATTTACCATTGATACATCGTTGCAAAATTTATTTTGACTGAATATTCATGAATCGTCTTTCGAAAATAACAGATCAGAAAAAAATGTTAGCAGACAATTATCTAGTAATGAGAACGACAAACATTTCTAAATAATATTATTCGTGCGATGCTTAGCCGTAACTTGAAATTATTTATGCAACGAAGATCGCGTTATATATCGTGGAATATTTTATTTCTCTGGGGTTTTGGATTATGGATAGCTTTATGTACGAATAATATGTACGAATCGGACATTGTAGTACAAAGAGGTAAGTGTTACATATATAATTGTGGAACATATTTATTTAAACGTAATTAGGAGAGAGGCCCTTCGTTTATAGGTACCATATTTTATCAACAAAATTCGAATTCTGGAATTGTACATGGTATTGGAACAGAACGAAAGACAATGGAAAATGTTTTGCACATTACAGCAACAAATTGTACTTTGTGCAATACGATGCTGATATTAAAAGATGTGCTTAAATATATTTTTGTCCTTGTATTTGTGTGCTGTACGATATTGTTTGTATGCATGTGTGAGCATATAAGAAAAAGCATAGAAGTATGGAATAATATGTAAGTAACGAACAATGTTTTTGTACAAAGTTCTGTACTTGTATTTCAATTTATGTAAGTTTCCACAGAATACGTAATGTCTATTCAACTGGCGTGTATTTAAAAGCCATTGCAAGAAATTATATAGATTATATTTTTGATAGAACGATAACAAACAAACGAGATCAGTTCACTTTTAAACCTGAATTAATCGCGAAATGTAAAATGAGTACGGAGCATTTACAGGAAAAGTTGAATTATAAAAGTGAAGAAAAAAGTTCTATTTCGAAAGGAATGGTCATACAAAATGAAATTAATTTTAATAGCTACACTATGTTGCTGTTTAACAATTACGAGCTCTATTGTTATTTCTATCATCAACAATTACAAAATACGTTTAATTTGTTGACAATCTATTCCGAGACGAAGGATTCGGAATATATAAACAATAATCTGATATCTTTCAATAAGTATAGGGACAACAGTAATCATCAATTAAAAAATGGTATACGAAAACGCATCATTAGCTCATCACCAGAATTTCAAAAATTTCTGGCGAATTCAAGAAAATCTCGATTCTTTAATCCATACACTTTAGAAGTGTCTACAAATTATATTATTCGTATTAAATCAACTTATAAATTATAGTAGCAATAGTGTCATTTTAAATAAAATACTTATATTGATAAGAATATCTTTATTTATAACTTATAACTCATTTACATCGAAAATGACATAGTAAAGTGTTCTAAAAAAAGGGATTGTAATTTTAAAAATACACAAGGGTGACAAATACTGCCAAATATTTTTTTGGCTTATATTGAACTGTATATCTATATTGTGATTGCACAAGTGGCGCCATCCGTGGGAAAACGCTCAAGTTTGTAGTGAAAATAGTTCTCACTGTTACTACTAGAGGGCGCCACTAACAAAAGGGGTCGATCATTATTAAAAATGATAAATTTAACATATTAACTAATTAATATATTGTAGTGGTATAAAGTAAGGAATCGTATTAGTTATGCAATTATGAGAAAAAGAATGAATAATTTATTAAAATATGCCAGTGACGCCATCTTACAGAAACGGTGGAAACTATATTCACTACAAGCTTAGGTGTTTTCCCACCGATGGCGCTAGTTAGTGTTTTCGACCGCGCATGCGCGATGCCATAGCGACATACAATCGAAGTGACGTTTCTACGGACACGTTGTCACATGGACGTGTCCGTTTTGCGCAGACGCGTTGAATCGACACCAGTTTGTAGCAATTTTTCGATTCGCGTGGAAGTTGTGTGACAATTTGTTGTTTTGAAAGGAAATCTAGAATATCTAAGAAAACGATACGAAAAATGTCAGGTAAGTCGAAGGCATTCACCAAGGAAGAGGAGCTTCTTCTTCAGGACTTCTCGCGAAACGTGTCAACTAAATCTTCGGCTTTATTCTACGGCAATGCTTTCATCGTCTCTGCCATACCCATCTGTAAGTACGAAAACTGGGAATATTAAGAAATTTAACGTCTATCGTTGATACGTAAATATTTACGCAATTTACGTCAAATTTCAATATCTGTTTATATCATGGAATCGGGGATAAATAAACTATTACGAAGAAATTACAGTTTCTTTTAAGTTAACCTCTATCGTTCTGTTACAGGGCTCTTCTGGAGGATTCACTTGATCGATATATACGCAAACTTGATTTCCTTTGTTTTAGTCACTTTAGCTAGCACGTATGCTCTTGCGCTCGCATATAAAAATACCAAGTTTGTTCTAAAACACAAGGTAACATAGAGTATTCACTTCTGAAAGATAAGCAATACTTGTTGTTTTTATTCGTCATTTATTCCAATAAACCATATTCTCTTTGCAGATTGCAGTAAAGAGAGAGGATGCTGTAACAAAGGAAATGAGCAGAAAGTTGGCAGAAGATAAAAAAATGAGTAAGAAGGAGAAGGATGAGAGGTATTTAAAGTATTTGATACATTTATTAAGAAATAGTAATGGAAATGTAACACAATTAAATTTTTATAGGATCCTGTGGAAGAAAAACGAAGTGGCTGATTACGAAGCAACAACATTCTCTATCTTTTACAATAACGCTTTATTCTTAGCGCTCGTAATCGTGTCTTCATTCTACATTCTGAAGACATTCACACCAGCTGTTAATTACATATTTTCCGTTGGCGCGACGAGCGCACTGTTAGCACTGCTATCAACTGGTTCGCAATAACGTGGTGATGCATGACTCTAATCATTTATTATGCCAGATGATTCTGTGAGACTCTGTAACTGATTTTTTGATACGAGTGAATGCGTATATGTAATAAAACCATCTTTATTTATAATAATTTCAATAATCTATAGCATTCAATTACCTCGAAATAAAAGCGAAACAACTATAGTAATATATTTTTATTTTCAGTTCAATTCGAAGAAATCTCCTGTTAAGTTCGTAGGAAAAAGTGTGATACGCTTACGTTATACAAAATAATTGATCGCGTTTCACTTATCACTTTTGTCAATCTGTCCAGAATACACGGTCGAGAAATCAACGGATCGCGCTTATTATCGAACATCTCGCGATTAGAAAATTGATCCTTCTGGCAAGGTGGACGGCTACATTAACTGCTGCGATCGTCTCCGAGTAGCTGAAAGTTTGAATACAAATCAATTAAACCGACACTATCGCGGATGACGAATTATAGCGAATCGCAGATTGTAATCCAGTATAAGCAGTCCAACGCGGGTCATTCTAATGCTTTATTTGCTTGTTTAAATTGGAACCTTGCCAGCGTATAGCTCGCCGAAGGAAAATCCCTCGCCAAATTGTACATTCTATTCCTGTGCAGTAGTGAAAATACAAACATTTACTGAAACGATACCAAACTATCGTAGATTGTTTGTACAAACGTTAACACTCTTTAATTTAGTCCATAGACCCCGTAGAACGCTTCGTTTATGTCGCTTTATCCTAAAACGAAATTAAAAAGGAGTGTAACCGCGACAGGCGATAAGGAAAGTTATTTTGCAGGTTTTCATATTATAAGGAATTTTCATTGGCGCAATCGTACGTGTGCATTTGGCAAGGACGTATCATTTTCTTGCTATGATTTATATTACCGCGTGATATTCGCGTAATCCTGACGATTTTCTCCGATTATAACGCAGAAAACATTGCGAATTGGAGCCTACCGATGTCTCGGAATTCCCACCGGATTAAACACCCATCGGTTGCCCGAATAACCGATAAATAATAGTTTACAAACGTTTATTGTACCGTGTTGCACTTAGGCAGGTGTAGTTTGGATCTTCTCCAAAAATGTTAATCTTCCTTCTCCAGACGTTAGCATACAATGATTCTCGCGGTGGAGACGAGTTATCAACGCAAACGGTTTACGATCTCTGAACAGTTTACAGTGATCAATTTTAACAGCGTAGTAGAATTTCTTTTATAGAAGCATACGTCAAAAATAAAATTCTTGATTTCAGGAAAAAAATTGAGAAGAAAAAAAAAAGTGAAACGGAGTCGAGACGCTATGAGATATATAAAAGAGTCGAGTTTATTTATTGTTTTCCTAGATCAGTGTCCAGAACGGAGAAGACACTCTACTGGCAACTATCCATCGAACCACGTACATTTCTTTGCTAGTCTTCATTTTCTTCGAGCAACTTGACCTTGTCGATGAAATCTGGGATGAAAACACGGAAGAGGATGGGTCGTGGAACGTTTTAATATACATATATGACGAAGCTTTTCTCTTTTCCTTGTCGGTTTCGACAACCGGATGAACGAAACGTCTACGCTGTAACTTCGAAACAACTGGTTGGATACTCGCTCAAGTGTTATCAAGGATTCAAGTGATAAGTCCTTGCGTCGATTTTAATTTCTTGATAAATGCTAACATATATTATAAGTTTTTGATTGTTACTTCAAAAATAAGTTATTTGTTCGTAATTTAATTATTGTATTTTGTACAGCTTGAAAAGCTCTATAAGAGGCTTGTGAAGACGATCGAGTGTTGAGGACCGATGGTTGGAGAAACGATCTGGAGTCGGAAAACGAAAAGACGGCCCTGATTTCGAGCCTCGCGGCACCGTCTGCATCCCAGAAATAGCGGCAAGCGCCTTTCCAAAAGCTTTAAGGCCCGCTACAAGTAGCGAAGCGAAGAGAGGAGAGCTCAAGATTGGCTGGAGGTAGCGGGGTGCGGTCCGGGTCCGGCACGCAACCGCTATATCCTCCTATTCGAATATTACCGCGACGGTGGCCGTTGCTCGTGACAGTGCTCAACGGACAGCAAAACCTCCACCATACGTATTAACGACGACGATCACCTCGCGAGTAAAGTTCGTCCTGTACGCGAACTAGACGACACCCTTCCTCTCGTATCAGTAGTATACACAGTGTTTTAAAGTAAACGTTTATAAGTAAAAGACCGCGCCACCATGGTATGTTCTATTGATGATATCGTAAGTCGTCGCCCTGGTAAACATACACGTTTTCCTACTGTTTACTTGATATTTATTTATCGTATTTTTTTTTATTCTTCATTTACATAGTCGTGCCTCGCCTCACTCTCTGTCTATCTGTAATCTCTTTTGGCTGTCGTTTTCCTCGTGTACGGCGCCGAACTGGGTCAACCGATATTAAAATGATACAACGTCAGACTAAAAGTGCAACCGAATAATCCTAATTTGTTAAGACAGTTTTTTTTAAATTACTTTTTTGAATCGTCCTGCATTCGTTCGATATACATGTTTATGTTGCACCCTCGACAAATATCGAGCGAATAAACTATTACTGGAATCAGCGTTAAAATCAAATTGTTACACAGTTATTTCAATCGAAATTAGTTGACCCGTTCGCCCCAAGGAATGCCTGCATCCACTGTTCTCTGTTTCTCTCTCGCACCTTTATTTTCCATTTTTTTTTTTTCTCTTCTGATCCTTCATCGTGCACAATGATTGCAGTCTAACCGGTGATCGAAATCGGCCGAAATCGCGAGTGGAAATTACAAGTTCCAGAGATGCGAGGTCCTGGAAACGTGATTGTTAACTTAGATGGCGAAACTGTTGCCGAGCCTCCTTTCTTCGCGTCGATTCGAAGAATTTCAAACTCAACCTCCTTTTTGATACAGCTTTCTAACTACGCATGTCTAGTTCGAATCAGAAATCTCTTTGCACGATTCTAAATACATCCTCGAACCGACGGAACAAAGGAACTGGCTCGACGTCTGACCATTCACGGTTATTTCTACTTGCGTCAATTTTCAGAGCGTCGGCGCCGCGAGATATTCGAACTTCTGTTTAATCGTAAATTAAATTAATCGTTTTTGTAGTAGTTAAATGAACACGTATTCTTATTATACCATGCGCTCGATATTTAATTTAATTTACAGTTAATTCAAGAACTGCTTCATTATTTCGGCAAAACCTTCGTTCTCTCGCGATCATTATATCGATTCGATCAAGTCGCAAATCTGGCTGTCAGTCGTATAACAAGAATAATATTTAATATTTAATCGTGGTTGCAAAATGCACGTTCTTTTTTTTTTTTTCTTTATAATCGATGTTAACAATGCACGTCTACTTTGAAGTTTCTACGATCGGTTGTCTTCGAATTTATCCGTAACAAGCTCGCAGAGTCTGTTCGATCGAGATAACAAAATTTCGTCGTCTACGGTAGTT